TCTCTGAGGACTAGAGAAGGGCCAATGTGGTGCCCAGTTTCAAGAAAGGAAGAAGTGATTAGAGGGGTAACTTTAGACCAGTCAGTCTTACCTCTCTTCCTGGGAAAATCCTAGAGAAAGTAATCAAAGAACACATTTGTGCAGGCCCAGAAGGGGAAATGATGCTGAGGGGAAACCAGCACAGGTTTGTCACAGGTAGACAAACCCTGTAGCCTTCTATGATCAGGTCACACACTGCCTGGACACAGGAGCTGAGGCTGATGTCATCTTCCTGGAATTTAGAAAAGCCTTCGATACGGTTTTGCACCCACTCCTCATTGGGAGGCTAGTAGACTGTGGAGTGGATGCCTATATGATCAGGTGGGTGGCCAACTGGCTTGGGGACCGCACCCACAGAGTGGTGGTGGATGGTTCCTTCTCAGCCTGGAGGGAGGTGGGCAATGGGGTCCCAAAGGGTTCGGTCCTGAAACCGATATTATTCAATACCTTCATCAGCGATTTGGACGAGGGCGTGGAGAGCACCCTCTCCAAGTTGGCTGATGATACCAAGTTATGGGACAAAGTTAATACACCGGAGGGCAGGAAGCAGAATCTTCAGGCTGAGCTGGACAGGTTGGATCAATGGGCAGAGAGAAATACGATGCAATTTAATAAAGATAAATGTAAGGTACTCCACCTGGGAAGGAGGAACTCCCCCAGCACACCTACAGGTTGGGGAGTGTCCTTCTGAGCAGCTCGGAGGCAGAGAAGGATCTTGGAGTCATAATTCACTCCAAGATGAACATGAGCCAGCAGTGTAATGAAGCCATCAACAAGGCCAATCGCACCTTGTGCATTAGCAGGTGCACGAGTAATAGATCAAAGGAGGTGATGCTCCCCCTCTATGCGGCACTGGTCAGGCCACAGTTGGAATACTGAGTCCAGTTTCGGGTGTTGCACTTCAAGAGGGACATGAGGAATCTGGAGAGGGTCCAGAGGAGGCCACTCGCATGATTAGTGGCCTTTGTGATGGACCCTACGGGGGGGGAGGTCGAGAGAGCTGAATCTCTTCAGCCATCACAGGAGACAGCTGAGGGGAGATCGTGTGGCCACCTATAAATTTATTAGGGGAGGTCAACGGGAAATAGGGGAAGCACTGTTTACTAAGGTGCCCAGAGAGTGACTAGGAATAATGGGTGTAAAGTAGTTGAGAGTGGATTTAGGTTAGACATTAGGAAGAAATTTTACACAGTAAGGGTGGCCAGGATCTGGAATGGGCTTCCAAGAGAGGTGGTGCTATCACCTAGCTTGGAGGTCTTCAAGAGGAGGCTAGATAGTCACCTGGCTGGGGTCATCTCACCTCGGTCCTCTTTCCTTTCACGGGCAGTGGGTTGGACATGATGATCCATTGTGGTCCCTGTGGCAGAAATGCCACCGTCTGTGTCCCTCTCCAAAAATCTGTCTCTGCTAGTGTAAGAAGCTGGTGTTGAATTCCTCACGGAGGGGGATCTTCCTCCCTGCCTACATGACAAAAGCCTGCTGCCTCGGAGGTGGATTCTCTGGTCACCTGTGGGGAGAGGGAAAAGCCCCACTCACCAGCCCAGGTAGCCAGTGATGCATTTTAAATTGGTTGGCTAGTGGCTAGCACTGGCAGCTTTGATTGGACCAGGCTGCTGAGGTCAGAAAGGTTAATTAAAGGCCCGGTCCAAGAAGAAGGCAGCCATTAGCCATGCGGTCATCCAGGTGAATCTGAAACTGGGAGAGGAGCTTCAACAGCTGAAACTGGCTCTCCTCCTAATGGCATGCTCAAAGAGTGACCTCCCTTCAGAGGAAAACTCCAACCCCCTCTGGACAATGGAGTAAGCTACTTGAGATCTGACTAGATATTAAGCTTACAGTAACTCAGATGCAAGATCAAAAGGCTACCATCAGCCACACTGGTTTGCTCTATGGGATTCCTCTGATATTTCTATGATACTGCTCTACCTTTTAGCCCATTTTCACCCTACCTGCTGTAATCAATAAAGTTCTCTTTCATGAACGGTTTGGGTGACTTATTGAGGGGTGGGTCTAAATTATGCCTAGGAGGCCCCTTACGTCTGTGGACTAAGGGAGACTTTGCTAATAAGCCCCTGACTTGGGAAGTGCCCCAAGTGCTTGTATTGGGTCTAGTACCCATTGGACGATCAGGCCTGTGTTTTCCAAGGTGCACAGAGCCAGAAGTGAGTCCAGAGCCTTGGATCGTGGCAGCGGGAACCCCAGCCTTGCCGGTGTGCTCCAGGGAAGGGGTTGGCCAGACGTGAGGCACCCCAGGGAGGGCACTCGGAGCCTGGAAGGTGGTCGGGTGCAGTGAGGCGGGCGGCTTAATGCAGGAGCGTCCCCTACTGGCCTGCCACACCCTAAAGTAGTTTTGCCCACCCTTGGGGCTATCTGTGTAGTGTACTAAAAAGACAGCTTTAATGGTCATCTTCCTCTTATCTAAGGAATATCTCTTTCCCCCCTGAGGCCTTAGCCATTCTTTTGACTTCCACACACAGTAGCAAACTACAAGAGTCAGGTATACTTATCCCACAGGTGCTGGAATCTGCCACTGATGGCCAGTCGAGGCTTCTTCCAGCGTGGTGTTATCTTCCAGAAGGGGATCGCCGACTGGTCCTCCTGGCTGGACATGTGGGGTGCTGGTCAAGTTGGAGATGAAGAGGGCGCCGCTGAGGGTCACTTTTCAGTGCTTTTTATCTGTCCTTGGCAGACTTTGGTGACTCCCCAGTATTCAGGTTTGCCAAATGCAGGGGTCATTGATCCTCATGGGACTTTCCCCCTCTGTGGCTACTGGATGGCATCTGTCAGTCCCAGGGGTCATCGGCATGTACGTGCAGGTTTGGGAGTCAGTTGATGAATTTTGAATAGGGCTCTGGGAGCGGTTGACTTGGAGATATTCAGCCCAAAAGTTGGTCCCAGCATTGATTAACTCAGGCCAAGGCTTGATCAATAGATCATCGAGTCCGACCCCCTGCATAGGCAG